TGTCTTTCTTGTAGTGAGGTACCCAAAACTGAACACAATACTCGAAATGCGGCCTCACCGGTGCCAAGTAGAGGGGGACAATCACCTCCCTACTCCTGCTGGCCACCTGGGCACACTGCTGGCTCATATTCAGCTGCTTGTCAATCAATACCCCCAGGTCCTTTTCTGTCAGGCAGCTTTCCAGCCACTCATCCCCAAAACATTTTCTTTTATCTTCCTTTTTCGAACCAAGAAGTATGTGAACACTGCAACCCACACAAGCTTTTCCTGCTTCTCCCCATCCCACTGACTGCAGATTGGAGTTGCAGCTCATGGACAATTTCTGATGGAGCAACTGGAGGAATATAGGGCTACGAGGGAGGAGCGTGTGAAATCAGGTCCCAAAATCTGTTGAATATCTGTTCAACCACTTTCTCAGCTTTATCAAGTAGGATATTTTCAGAAATGTTTAGACGTTAAGCTGGTTAGATGTCCTCTTTAATGTTAGGTATAACTGCAACTATAGTAGATGGTAAGAAATTAGTTGAACAGATGATTCTCTAGGCCATGACTGATAAGCAACCATAAGGATATAAAGATTTTCTAACCAAATAATGGCATGAAAATTGTGTGTAGTAAAATCAGCAGCTTCAGGGAAACAGGGATCAGAATGTTATAACCTGAAAAGAACCAAATTCAAACTCATACCAATAACATTGTCATAATTAGATCAGTGTTAATAACAAAAGTAAAAAAAAAAAATCCCACTTCTATATGCATATATGCTTTTAAGCACCGTTGTTTTACAGAATGAACTATCACTTACTCTAAGGTAAGAATATATGTAAAAACAAGCGATCACAATTAAAGCAAAGACCTCAAAAGAAAAGAAAGATAATATCAGAGCTCCCAGGGCTGAAAATCTCCTGGTTTTACTATTAAATTACAAAACAACCAATGAAGCTGCCTATGAATACAATCTTTAAGCCATATATAAGACTATAAGAAATATTTTTTTCCCACATTGCCACTACTTCAGAATCAGGTATGCAGCACTGATTGTTCTAGTTTCCTGTACTGTACTTCTACAGATGCAAACATAGTCTCACTATCATTAAAGGAGGATTGTTCTTTAGAACATGATCTAGGATTTTATTGTGTTTAATTATTATAGTTACTTGCATTTGTATGTAACAATAGCAAAGTGCTCATAGTGATTCAGCTGAATACAGTGAAGCAGAAGAGATTCCTGTCAGTAGAGCGTAAGAAAAATTAAGAGCCGCAGAAGACAGAAAAAGGCATGTAAAAATCTCTTGAAGGTAATGTTTCAGTAGGAAACAGATAATCCTCCTAGACAGGTCTAATGCTCAATTACTTAATAATACAGATTAACTATAATTAATATTACCTTTAATTAATAACCACATATCTCATTACAGTTAAGAAGACATGATTTCAGCCTCAAAGATTTTCTACTTTGATAAGTTTCTTTTTTTCTCCCTAGGCATATAATTGTTCACCTGTTTCCAAAGTAGTCTACAGAGAAATGCAGGTGCATATGGCCCTAATCCATGTTTTTAATTGAATGCAATTAATCAATTCAACCAAGCAGCTAAATTGCTACGTGAGAAAGGAGGATCAATCTGTGATATAGAGTGGGATGGTCAAACCAGGTGCCTGCAGCTCTTGGAAAGCATTTGTTTCCGAATTTGTGTACCTAATTTCCCCACCTCTTCCATGGCATATAGCGATATAGAATAGAACATTTCAGTTGCAAAGGGCCTACAATGATCAGCTGTCTCACACTGGTAATGTAAAGATTTAGATTGTTTTGTAGATCTTAATCTAAACCACAGTAGTGAGCCTTGCAGAAGACCAGGTAAGAAAATTAATAGCAAGGACCTTGGTTGTTTATCTCCTTAAGAGTACTTTGTCAGACTTTCTTGAATGTAACATGCATGTTAACACTTACTGTTTAGAAAGCAATGCAAGGAGGAAAAGAGAAAGAAACAGGTGCTTAAGAGTAAAAAGAAAAAAAGGAATTAAAAAACAGAAGGGGAAAAAA